CAATACACTTCTTTAATCCATTTTATCTTGTATTTTGCATATTAAAAAATTATAGAAATTATATATTAATAATCTATATGTTAAGACAAATCAAACAAGATCACACATGACTATATTTAGGCTTACACATTGAGAGAATTTGATGAGTCAAAGTGCTTAGATGAACAATTCCAAAAATCAAAACTAGACGAATACTCCGGGACGGAGAGAGTATGATTTTATAAAAGGAAAGCATTGTGTATATAAATGATCTGGTTTTAACTATTTAAAAAAAGAAATTAACTTTATAAAATCCGTACATACTTAATGCCCGAGAATTGAAGGGGATTGAAAAAACATATTTAACATATTAAGAAAAGAAAGAATTACCAAAAAAAGAAATCATAGAATTTTGGAAGTTATAACATGTTAAACGAAAAGGCCCCTTCTCGAATCATTTTTTATTTGTCTGATATGTCGATTGTCGAGTATTGGGCGATGTTAACAAAAATTAACTTCTTGAAACCTTTTTTTCTTTATTATACGCGTAACTAATTTTTTTTGCTGTGGCGGAAAATAAAAAAATATTGCAAGAATTCTAAAACCATGAGTATTTTTGTGCTTAATAATGGAAGTTTTAAAATTTTAATCTTATGTATTTTATTTGCACCATGTTAATTGCCTACGCATTAAAGTTATTAATAAAATTCAAGCATTCCTCCTTTTTTTAAATCTTTCCCCTTTTTATTTATATGCTTTAAAAGATTATGAAATCGGCGTTTCAAGAAAAAAATCTAACTTCCTTTGATTTTTAATAAAAATAATAATATCAAAATTCAATCATTCATTCTTTTTAATTCTTTTTTTAAAACACTCGCCATTTTAATATTTTAAACCGTATTTAAGAAGTTACTTGGGAGGGATAACGATGAGTACATTTTTCCCCTTCTTTTCTGAATAGGAAGATGTGGTGGAGACAATTTATGTATTACACAATTGAAAAACATTATATTTCATTATATGACATAATTATTTACTTTTTTAATAATACCAATATAAATTTATAACGTTAATACGAACCGTGCAATGCACGGGATGTGATACTAGTTAGTGATAAGTGAGGTGACCGACAATATAATGGGGGTGGTTGGCCGGTGACAATGGTAGCCGTTGACGGAAAATGGTTAAAGGTTGAGGGAGATATCAAACCTCTATATTGTATCTCCAAAATTTGGGAGATATCGAAATCCTCCATTTGAAGGATTTATGATATTTGAAGATATCGAATTCAATATCTCTTTTGGCTTCACCAATTCAAACAACCTTAAAGAATTCTAATATCTGAAGATATCAAAACTCATATCTTGTTTGCTCACCAAACACACCCTAAGTATATTCATAATTTTGTGACAAATATTTATTGGACAATCAATGTCTTACATATTTGCATGAGATTTTTCCTGTTATTGTCTCAATCTTATTAAAGAACTTTTTTTTCATATTTACTAGTTGATTTAACGTTATTATTGTTTCAAGAAATGTTTTTTTATTGTTATGTTTTAGTATTTATTTTTACGTAATTCACGAAAAGTATTACGGAGTAAAAAGTGAAAATTAAAGCATGTTGGTGGAATATAATTTACTTAGAAGAGAGGAGCTTTAAAGGCTACATGCCTACATCATTATGATTTTGAAATATATTAAAATGGAATTAATATTATTATTATTATATATCATATTTATATCCATTCAACTTTTAATGTATAAAAAAAATTAAAATAATCAATCAAATATAAACATGAGGAGAGAAATGCTAAAGTACATGGGGAATTTCTAATATTGTGGTACGAAATTAGTCTATTTATTATTATTATTATTATTATTATTATTATTATTATTATTATTATTATTATTATTATTATTATTATTATTATTATTATTTCACTTGTGTAAAGTGGGGAATTCCTAATGTTGTCTGCCACACCACACGGATCGGATCGGAGGTAACCATATGGTACAACTAAGTGCATGCATTTTCTCTTTAATTGTTTCATTTGTGGGAATCAATTTGTAAATGGGACCACCTAGCTAGATTTTTTTTTACATTGCTTCATTTTTAAACATTAATAACTTTATTATAATGTAGTATTTGTTCATACATTCTCAATCGATTAAACACCGTAAAATTAATATCCACCGGAAGTAGAGCGTTTTGGTGAAGGGGCTTACCACAGGGCTCGCTAATTATATTAGAGACAATGGTGATCAAGGAAAATAAGTGACAGAATTTAGAGATAGGGATCACTGGATTGGGTCGTAAGACACTTTAGTTGAACTACATCAAAAAATTGAATTCAGCCAGTTACTTAATTTACCTCAAGAGCTTATATATTGATTATTTTCTTCTCACTTGTCTGATGTGGGATACACTTTAATTTAAAAAGAAGCCATTACGGACATGGCTTCTTTAAAATGGGACACTCTTTTAATTCAATCTTTTTTTTAAATATATTACTGTCTATATGTATTACGAAAAATTAGGGGGTGCGTGTGCCCCTAATGCGAGTGGTTAGATCCGCCACTAACTAAAAGTGATTATGAGAACTTTGAAAATTGGTGCAAAAGGAAAAGGGTTAGGAAATACGAGTCGATATCGAACCCAACGTAAATATCATCGTAAAATCTTAATAATGAATTTATAAGCCTAAATAAAAGAAAAGTGGGGTTATAAGTGACAAAAGTATGTAACACTTGGGCCATAAGTGGAACCATAATCATTATAATCATCATGGGATACTGCGTATGTATCCCCTTTAGTGATTTTTAATTTGTTGGGAGTGCCCAAATTAAGTTTAGTCCGTCATTAGTTATTCTAATACATCATCCGTTGAATTTGGGTTCATCTATTTTTAACATAAAGTTTGATTTCAAAGTTTAATACAAGTACAATAAGTTTATAAACTTGTTTTTTAGGAATTTTTATAATTGCATGTGAAACTCATATAATGATTATCGGTATATGCTTATGATATACTTCAATTTCTCCGTCCAATAAAATATTTCCTATTTGAGAAAGACGGGTTTTAAAAATGTATTCACTCTGGTCTTACAAATTCTTCAAGTTTTAACTTACTCTTTGACCAAGAAATAAACATAATCTAAAAAAATAAATGTAATAAAAGATTTATACCCGTAGTATATTAAAACTATAATCTAAAATGAACCCAAATATATTGAATTTATATTAAACTTTGATATATTTTTCTCATAATTTATGATAAAAGTACTAATCACTATTTGACAAAAAAGGGAAATCCTAAAGATCTATTTGGCACACGAAATTGATGGAATTGGAATTGAATCGAGGGTTGAAATTCTATGCAAGTGATTTGGATGGAATTGAATTCTCCAATTTCAATTTCCAATTCAAATTTCATAGTTTGAATTCCGTATACCAAACGAGGCTTAGGAGTTTTTAGGCCCAAAGAGAGTATTTTTTGTGTTATTTTCTAATTTTGTCATTACTTTATGATATGGTACGGTATGATGTTTATGAAAGTGGAGCCTTTTTAAATGCTTTTTTCTTCTTTCCGGACTCCGCCTTGGGTTGAGTAGCTTGGTCATGCGGAGATTGCGTCTCCGACATGTAATGAGGTTGCGTCATCAGAATGAAGTTCGGAAACCTACATTAAGCCTTGAGAGCCACCCAAGAAGAAGTTCGAGGATGGAGTCCAATACTCAAATCCCTCGAAAGTCGGATGATAACAATTATCGAACATATTCCCGACGTTCAGATCATTTGAATTGAAGGGGGGCGGTTAAATATTGAGATTGTAAAAATTTGGAAGATTGAGATTGTTTAGATTCATGGTGTGAGTAGAAATATAAAGTTTTTAAATAAATATAATTAGAATTGAGATAATGAAGAAGTGATTGTGTTTGAAAATGGCTACAATTGGTTGTTTAAATAGAAGATGGAAGGAGTTTGTAAGTTTCAAATTTTAATTTATTACTCCCTTCGTCCTAAAACTTTCTTCTCAGTTTGACTTTTCCCCATTTTTAATTTTTGGCTTTGACTTCAAATTTTACCCTCAAAAAAAAAATTTTGAATTTTTTTTTGCAATCATTCAACATGTAGAGTTAGAAGATAATTGGTGTAAATACATGAGGGTATTAATGTCATTTGTCATCTTTTTTTCTAATGGGAAGGTAGTTTTAGGACGGAGAAAAAGGGGAAGTGGGAAGAAAGTTTTAGGACGGAGGGAGTATATTATATATTACGGACTAAATTTTTTTAAATTTTTTGGTCAAAATGACGGTTGGAAGCAAATGAAAAAAAGAGGAGCGAGCAATGGTCCACAGACCGCGACCAGGACCACAGCGGGTCTCACGGCTCGTGTTCACGAAAGGGGGAGGGGGTGTTCGCGTGAAAGGGAAGCTGACCTGACTTTGCCACGCAGATCACGGTGGAGCGATGGGCGGGCATTACACCCAACCTTACGAGTTACACTCTTCGCAAATATTCTTTTCGTGCTGACTTGACACGCTTAAAGTGGAATGATGTTATTGATAATCACCCTTAAAAAATAAGCTAAAAAAAATGAAAAGAGAAGAATTTTTCTGGACAGAGCAAAAATGAAAGTGGAAAAAAATATTTTCGAAGATATAATCTAAACATATTGTACTACTCATTGGAAGTAAAGAAAATATGTACTCCCTCCGTTCTCAAAAACACTTCCTCTTTCATTTTTTCCACTTCCAACAAAACACTTCCCCTTTCTATTAAAAAACCACTTTTACTCTTACTTTTTCATACCCTACCTATCACATCATACATTTTCTCTAATAATCTATCCATCACATCTTATTTTTACCCATCACATCAAGGCAAAATTGGAAATCAACTATAATTTAACACTTTCTTATTTTTGCTCCCAAATCAAATAGGAAGGGTTTTTCCTAACGGAGGGAGTATATTCGAATGTACCATACAATTTAATTGTAGCTGTATAGGTACTATACTCATATTTTCCACTTTGCAATTAATTTATTCTCATAATAAGCATATATAGCATACCCACCACATTTATAAATTAATCCCCTTCTAATTCACATTCAATTCTCTCAAATCCCATACACAATTCAATGGCTTCTCTTTCATTCTCACCTCCCCACACATGTGTGAAAGATATGATCAAAGTTCCTCCCTACTTCTTTGATGATTTGACCTCTCTCCCCAGGGTCAAATTCGTCCATAATAATAAAACCCGAGGGCATCGCGGATTTGTCGTGACCAACGTGGCTGGCGGCACGCTGTCGGCTTCCACTCCTTCCGCCACCGAAACGGTGGCGGCCGAGAGAAAACTAGCGGCATGGACCAGCGTCCGGCAAGAGAGGTGGGAAGGGGAGCTCGTTGTTGAGGGTGAAATACCAAAGTGGTTGGTATGTTTAGTACATATCATTTAAACGTTTATCATACATTAAAAGTTGAATGAATCTGAACCTTGATTACGTATACATTTATTCAATTTTCTTTTAAAGAATTTTAAACTTTCTCCTTTAAGATATAACTAGAAAATTACTTACGGGTGACGCGAATTTTGTCGAAATAGCTCTCAGGTTCCTCTATTTTCAGGAAGACAACAAAAGCCCTTATATTTTGTTGTAATGTCTGGAAGGAGACATTTCATCCAAAATAGTTAATAAATGTATTTTTTCCTATTTTGCCATTGTCGGTTATTTCTTTTTTAGAAATTTTTTTATTTCATTTATTTTTATATCACACAGACCATTTTGAATTTTTATACGATTTTATAGAAGAAATTCTTAAAAACACTTTAAAAAAGAGTAAAAAAAGGAAAACGAAGAAATAAAAAAAGAGCGACCTAAGATTTATTACCATAATATATTTAGGAAAAAATAGAAAAACATACATTTATTAACATTTATGGATGAAATATTGGATGAAATGTTCTCTTACAGTCATTACAAAAAGATGTAAGGACCTCAGAATTATCTGGATAAAACTATCTGGATAAAACTAGCGTCGCCCGTGAGTAATTTTCTGAAGATATAAGTGACTATTTATTAACTATGCAGAACGGGACGTATCTGAGGAACGGACCGGGCTTATGGCACATAGGGGACTACAATTTTCGGCACCTCTTCGACGGCTACGCCACCCTCGTCCGCCTACACTTTGACGATGGCCGCCTAACAATGGCACACCGGCAAATCGAGTCGGAGGCCTACAAGGCGGCGACTATCAACCAAAAACTCTGTTTCCGCGAGTTCTCCGAGGTACTAATTCAATTTATTAAGATGGGCCGCGCTAGAATAACACCAACTTTGACACCACGGATAACAACCGTGTATGAAGTTGTACACACAAAGGATATAACCGTGTACTAATTCAATTTTTTTGTTAAAGTTGAGTCAGAATATTTTTGTGTGATTCAAAATATCTAGCAACAAAAAAATTATGGAATAATCTAATATTCTATAACTTTTTGTTGCTAGATATTTTGAATCACAAAAATTTTTTGTGACTCGACTTTAAAAACAAAAAAAATGGAACTAGAATGGTCGTTTCCGACTTGTTCCAATTTTGGTTCCGAATTTGGGTTTTTTTCTCTAATTTTCTTCTGATGTGGGATATTTTTAACAGGTACCAAAGCAGAACAACTTCCTGGGCTACGTCGGAGAACTAGCGAACCTATTCTCCGGTGCGTCGTTAACAGACAACGCCAACACCGGTGTGGTCAGGTTGGGCGACGGGCGGGTTTTGTGTTTGACGGAGACCGTGAAAGGGTCGATCGTGATTGACCCAGACACACTGGACACTATTGGGAAGTTCGAATACAGCGACTCTCTGGGCGGGCTGATCCACTCAGCCCACCCGATAGTCACGGACACAGAATTCCTCACGTTGTTGCCCGACTTAATCAACCCGGGATACATCGTGGCCCGCATGGACCCGGGCACCAACGAGAGGAGGGCTATCGGGCGGGTGAAGTGCCGAGGCGGGCCCGCTCCGGGGTGGGTGCACTCTTTTCCGGCGACGGAGCACTACGTGATCGTGCCGGAGATGCCACTTAGGTATTGTGCACAGAATCTACTCAAGGCCGAGCCCACTCCTCTCTATAAGTTCGAGTGGCACCCTGACTCCAAAGCCTTCATGCATGTCATGTGCAAAACCAGTGGCAAAATTGTAATTCTCCCTTCCTACTTTCTACTTATCTTATACCCCTTACAAAAAAAATTATTTCACTTTGATTGATTTTAAGAGATATATTTTTATTACTTTCCCAAATTATCCTTGATTTAATAAGTAAAAGTAAAATGTGAAATGTGATAGATAGATTATTAATGAACAGATATAATGTCATTGATATGGTAAGAATTAGTAGAAGTAAATTTAATTTTTTTTAGGAAAATAGAAAGATTTTTTGAGACAGAAAAATATGAAAGAAGAATTGTATAGATTGGTTTTTGGTTGATATTTTTTGTGTGAAAGGTGGCAAGTGTGGAAGTTCCATTGTATGTGACATTCCATTTCATCAATGCATACGAGGAGAAAGATGAGGATGGAAGGATAACGGCGGTGATCGCCGACTGCTGTGAGCATAACGCCGACACGACCATCCTCGACAATCTTAGGCTACAGAATCTCCGGTCGTTTAACGGCCAAGACGTCTTGCCAGACGCTAGGTTACACTAATAAACTCTATCTCACTCTCCACAATTTTCACAACTAAAGACTATTTTGACCTTATTTGTTGCATTATAGATTGATAGTGGGAAAATATATATAGGGTAGGGAGATTCACAATACCATTGGATGGGAGTCCATATGGGAAGTTAGAGGCAGCATTGGATCCAAATGAGCATGGTAGAGGGATGGACATGTGCAGCTTCAACCCTTCTTTCTTGGGTAAGAAGTACAGATTCGCCTACGCCTGTGGGGCCCACAGACCCTGCAACTTCCCCAATACCCTCACAAAGGTATTGTACAAAAGTTTAAGAAATATAAACTTGTCTTTGGAATACCGTAAAAACAACGAGAAATTCTATTTAAACGACGCAGATTGACTTGGTGGAGAAGAGAGCAAAGAACTGGCATGACGAGGGCTCTGTGCCATCTGAACCATTTTTCGTGGCACGCCCGGGCACAACTGAAGAGGATGACGGTAAGTCCGTATAATGTGGGACCTGACATAATCGACCCTTACGGAAAGTGTTCCCTGACCCTTCCGTGAGGGGCGTATGTCACTCATATGGGACCCACAACGTAGTCGAACTTAATTATGCGTACATTCGTACATAATGGACAGACACATGAGATATGGGCATGTATATGAATGCAGGAGTGGTGATATCAATGATAAGTGACAAGAATGGAGAAGGGTATGCCATAGTGTTAGATGGGTCCTCATTTGAAGAGATTGCAAGGGCAAAGTTTCCTTATGCTCTCCCTTATGGACTCCATGGATGTTGGGTTCCAAACAAATGAACACTTATAACCTACACACACACACACATGGAAAATGATATCTAAATATCATAGTTTGACACCATTGACGTGCATAGACATACGTACACGCAATGGTGTCATCAATGGTGTCAAATTCGGTGTCACTGCAACATGGTCCATACACAAATCACGCCATGCAAAAAAGCTTATATATACACATATATAAATACAAACATTATGTAATAACATGCATTGAAGTATGGAACTACATTTGATCAGTTCTTGAAATTAAAGCTTCTACCATTGTGCAATGCTTGTATTCAAAAATAATCATGTAAACTCTGTCCGCCCTAGAGTATTCATCCACTTTGACTGTATCGAGTCGTGCTGAACGAACTCTAATCATCAATAATTATGAATCGAGTAATTATTTGTAATTTTTGGCAAGCTAAATCTAATGAAATCATCATTGTACAAATATGCAATGCAATTTTTATTTAATTGATGATGAATGTTTGTCTAGTTTGACTCAAAAACCTCAAACTGGATGAATACTCTAGGACGGAGGTAACATGTTTCGTAACATATAAGGAATAAAGCACTCTCACAAAATTGGACCAAACCATATTTCTAGGAAGCTAATACTTCTGATCTGTATAGACGGCATCTACGTCATCTAGCTCAAGTAGTTTTGCCATAAGTTCTTTGTTCAAGTCCATAGCCTCATCATCTACCTGCAACCTCAAAATAATAATAATAATAATAACAACTCCGTATCAACAATCTAAACAATCCATTATAAAACCTTAGCAGATTAAAAAAAAACATATTCACCTCAATCGGGGTGAGAGGGAGAAGTTCAGAACCATTATCAGGTTCGAACTTTATTCCCTCCTCGCGTAGCTTTGATAAAATTGCCGAATAGTTCTCATTTGAGCTCACAACTTTGTAACACCTGCACGACGGGAAGAAAGATATAGGAGGACGCAAAAAGGGCAAAATGGTCTTTTAGTCGTCAAAAAATATGAATAGTATTTCCTTTTAAGGAAAGGACAACAAGAAGAAATACCTTGACATATCCTCTTCGGTGTCATCCTCGTCCATTGAAGGCTCAATGACATCTTCAGCGCCAGCGTCTAAGGCAATACTAAGGAGTTGATCCCTCTCGACATCACTGACTTTCACATTAGCCACGCGGGCCCTTCTGAACTTGAACATAATTGACCCTGAATCTGCCATTTTTGCCCCACAATCCTTAACAACCTCTCTAATGAGTGCTATTGACCGGTTCACTTTGTCTGTCAACACCTCAACTATGATCCCAACGCCTCCGTATCCGTATACCTGAACTTGAGCAAGTACAAACATTTGAGTTTTGATGTTTAGCTTGTTGTTTTTGTTTGAGTTGGGAAAGTGGTGATAAAGAGATAAAGTGGAAGGGAAGAAATAGGACAACTGAGAAAAAGAGTGAATTTTTAGCACGTTTGGATTGAAAGGAATAGTAGATTTTTAGCACTCTGTAGGTGGGTGCCTCGGAAACAGCCCTACTTCTCAGTTCCGAGTAAGGTAAGGTCTGTGTACATACACCCTCCCAAGACCCTCCTAATCTCCTATTGTGAACTTGTGGGATTTGTATGAAAGAAAATAGAGGGAATCTTGATTTTTTTTCTTTTAAAGACAATTTTTCCAACTTTACGTAGATATTCTAACTTTGAACGGCATACAAAAATAGGGTTAAAATGGTTATTTCCAACTCTCCTTTTCACTAAAGAATGATTTTTTTTGGGTGGGTCATACATGAAAATTAACTAAACCCAAAGCACAAGCTACAACCTAAGACATAAAATACGCCAGCCAAAAAAACGAATCAAGGCTCATGGGTCTACTCAATTACTCTAATCCTAAATCAACTAGGGTTCTTCTCTAAGGGCATATCCTCGGTGAGATCATGGACTCACAAGTCCTTTCTAATCACCTTCATTCAACTCTTCCTACGTATATCATTCCCTTTCTCAAACACACTCGAAATGGAGCAAAAACTAGAATTTAAAAAACGACACTACAAATGTAAATTGCCAGTACCTCATAAACTTTCTCAATGTAAGCCTCTTGCCCCTTCTCTGAAGCTCTCTTAATGTTTCTGTCCACAATATCCTTAGGCACATCAAGCTCCTTAACTTTCTCAATCAAATTAGCCAAAGTTGTGTTAGATATAGGACTGGCACCACCTTTCTTTACCCTAAAATAATGTAAAACACGAAAAAATAATATTTAAAGCATGTGAATATGCCATTTGAGTCATTTCAGCTCCATTGAAACATGAAGATGGTGAAGAATGATAAAACCTACGCGGACACAACTTCCTTCCCGATTTTTGAATATAACTTTGCTTTCTTCGCATCCTGCGCTGTCTGTGTTTAAACACAAATTTTTAAATGAGATGTCAAAAAAACTGTCTGTGTTTAAACACAAATTTTTAAATGAGATGTCAAAAAAACAATTAGTATAAAATAATTTAAGCATCTCAAACTTAATGCAAAGAAGATAAACAACAACCCAGGTCAGTCCCAACTCTGTAAAATAAAATACAGAGTAACTGTTCCCATTAGACCCTTGATGCATTGCTATATTTACTACCCATGACTTCATTGAAAGTAAGAAGGAAAGGAAAGTTAATGTGCCATTATGATTTAGTTTGATATTGACCCAAGCTAAAACATTTACCATTACGATTATTTTAACTCCATTGACAATGGACGTGAATGCAAAGAAGATCACGGGTAAATTTGTTTTATAATACAACTCAAACCCTTGTTTATGTGCTTATGAGGGAGTGGGGATTGAACAAAACTTTTTACTTCAACTGAAGAGGTGAAACCGGAAGTATTATAGGTTCAACGCACTACCTAGAACCTTAAAAATCTTATTTTTTCAAGAATTATTTCAACCTAGTACATACCCTTATACCAGTACATAACAAGATTACCAAAAAAAACTGATCTGTGCTCATTCAACTTAGGTAACATGAAAATGAGAATCCCAATCGACAACAAAATTGAAAAACAAAATACAATTGTTACGATTGATTAGAACACTAGATACAAGAACATTACAAGATTATGCAAAATAATCAGATTCTAATACTGGTAAGTACTCATAAGAAGTGCCTGTTTCTCATCAAGAAAACACAGAAAGATGGAAACTTTATCATATACCTTTCTCCCAGCAATTTTGCAGGAGCGCCTACCCATACACAGCGGCGTACAAGTCCAAATGTTTCTCACAGAATTCCCAGATTGGAGGTGAAACTGGGGCACCCATTTCTCAGAAGATGAGTACCAGGAAGAAGATGACAGTTGTTTCGAATTCAAAACCACAGTACCTGAACCATATAACCTCAAATTAATTAGAAAAAAACCATGGCAAATTGGAAATTTCAAAAGAAAAAGATGAACCCAGAAAAGAAAAAAAATCTAGTCTTTAGCTCACGGAGTTACTTGTGGGAAGAGGGTGGGGTTTACTTTGCAGAGTGAAGGAGTAGGAGGATCTGTGCAGTAGCGAACCAAGAACGCGGAGCGAGTTTGAAGAGAAAGCCATTTTCTGGTTTTCTTTTCTCTCTTGAAATTGGGTCTCTGGTTATTTTGCTGCTAATTCTTCAAGATTTTGCTCGCTTCACAGCCAACACTGGGCTTCAATGGCGGAAGCGATATTGCATTTTGGGTTAAATTACAGAAAAGCCCATCTACTATGAAGGATGAAACTAAGGGTCCGTTTGGTATACGAAATTGATGAAATTAGAATTGAATTGGAATTGAAATTCCATGGGATTCAATTCCATAGAATTCAAATTCATTAATTTCAATTCATTTTTTGCACTGCCAATTCTAAATTCACATAATTTTTGTGCTACCAAACACCAGAATTGGAATTGAAGTCCTCAATTCCAATTCCACAGTTTGAATTCCGTGTACCAAACAGGGCCTAAAAATATACTCTCGTCACAAAAAGATCTATCCATTTCATTTTTTGTACATCACACAAAAACACTTTTATCTCGTCTCAAATACCAAAAAAAAACTTTTAAAACAACTACTCACAATAAAGGGTACATGTGGTAAATTTTAGACATTTTAGATGTACGTAGAAGTATTTTATGAGATACACAAAAAATGAAACGAGTATATTTTTTTAGGACGGAGAGAGTAGTAGTATTCTCTATTCAGACTACTCATACTATAAATCTGGATGTAACATATTTTTTGTACATTCATACGAGTGTATGAACATTTATTTTTGAGTAACTGAATACTTATTTTAGCATAATCATATTTTAGAAAAATGAACATTTTCTAACTCGTAAATGAATACTCACCACAAATGTATAAAAAGCACCGAACAAGTAGTCGTACAATATGTATTGAGACGTATTCACTCGCACAAAAAAATCATCTATTTGATATTCGCAGAATTTAAATAAATAGTTTAAAAAGTAAAAACTATATTGTTAAAATTTATTTAGATAAAAGTAAAATCTCAAAATAAAGTATGCAGAATATTTTTGAAAGCGTTCAAAAGAGTCTTTGCAAGATTAAAGTTTAAAGATCTCATTGTAACCATGCTTTCAATTAGCATGAATGCTTTGGATAATTTTTTAATCTTACAGATTAATCTCACAATATTAATCATGGAATTCCTCACACAAATAAACTGTCCTTCAAACTTCACAATATTGCATATAAGAATCATAAACCTTCTCACACAAATAATACTTGTAGCAAGTAAAAAAAAACATTAGTCTAATCTATGTTAAAGAAAATAACATTAATTACAGGATTGTAATCTTACTTTGCCTTGCACAGTTGTAACGATTAAATAAATTTTAAAAATAATAACAATAAATCATTCTTCTCCTTTTCCAGTTAGGGTGCAAATGAATATACAGAAGATGAAACCCAGACTTTTGAGACTTGAGAGACTGTTCTCCTTTTCACGCCGGTATAGCAATGCACATTTCAATTGGGTAGTGTTACAGAGGAAACGACAAAACACGTGTGGGGCCCACAAGATCGTCACTCCTCGAGGATGGCACGTCCCAAGTTAGTAGCGAGGGCCAGTCTGACTGAGCCTAATGCCTCGTTTGGCAAGTTACTCTCTACGAAATCCGGGCGCAGTTTTGCCATAGACAGTTCTTGCAGTTTACTCAAGAGCAGGTTAGTCTGGGAAACGTTGAAAACCGGGTGCTCCCGCCAGTTAAGTAATTTTAACTGCACAGTTCAAGAAGATATGAAGTTCAAGAAGATATTCACCCAGGGAAAAAAATTACAGTACCAGGTAAGGACTTACTGAATCATGCAGAAGAGGAAGCCAAAACTGTTGAGGTGTTGATGGGTTTCTCATCAGCTGAAAATTAAAGAAATTTATGAAAAAAACTTCATTGAGGGATAGACTGGAGACCAGAAATGGCAAATATTGACCCAGACCCATACCGAAAATACTGGCTTTTGAACGAAGATTTTGTAAACCGAACCCGAAATGACCCGCTAAAAATGGGTCAAACCCGATTAAACCCAACCTGACCGACTGCTATGATAAAAAAATTTTAAAAAGATCATATACTCTGTAGAATAGTATGAAATATACAATGAATAAATGATATAAATATTGTTATAATACAGAGTTTTATTTTTTTCTTATTACTCTATTTTAGTGTGTAAACTAATCTTTTCAAATGAGGTTTCAATGAAATATTGAAATTGTATTGTTATCGTACTTTTTTTCAAAAAATTGTACATATTCAATTTTTTTATAATTTATAATATTGTTGTATATATCAAAACTTTAATAAAAATTTCAAAAGCCAATATTATAATAGATTTAATATTTATATATTTTAATATTCATATGCAAAATGTTCATAAATTCATTGGGTCAACCCGAACCCGACGATATTGGGTCATGAACATGCATTTCCCAGCCCAAACTTGCCCGAACTTGAAGTAACCTGAACCAATAGGAACCAAACCTGAATCCGACCTGACCTACATATTTAACAGCTCTACCGAGACCCAGTGCCTTAGCAAAGCAACTAGCATTTAAGAGCTTCAGCAGCTCTTTAGAGTTTAGAGTCCTCACTACACACACTGGCTACTATATAAAAAACATTATGTATCAGAGCTTCAGAAGGGGTGTTTGGACTTACAGATATAAGGGCTTCTGCAGCTTTCGGGGCAGCATCAGTGGATGTGTTACCTTCAACCTGCAGAAGGCATCGCCTGAAATCCCTATACCTGCACACATCATTAGAAGCACAATAAAACAAACATGTCGCGTAGCAATAGATCCGCCCATTGCCAATGGAGATAAAAATATCATTATTGACAACGTTTTAGATATGGGCACATAATGGACTATATCAAAATGGAACATTAAACTTCTTTTGCTTTTAACAGTTTGTGGAGACAATGCGGCAATGCATATAGGCTCTAGCGGAAACAGTCTCCCAGTTTTTATTAACCAAATATTTTCTTTTACATATTTTGATGCGGGACACTAACAAGTAACAGGAACATAATACTCCGTAATATTGAAAGTAAAGTGATCAATGATTACCTGTTCAAAAACTCAAGACCACTTGCGGTCCTAGGCTCTGATCCTAGCAATTCAATTAACCCTTCCCATTGCTACAAAAAGAATTGGAGAAAAAGACAATCCAATGTAGTCAAAGAAAATCACACTCTTCGATTAGAAGGGTTTCCTATACAAATAAAATGATATGTCCTTAGAGGGTGTTTGCGAATGATTCTCAACTTTTGCTTAGGATAAGAGCACTTAAGAATGTTTGGGAGTGTCAGATTTTCAATTTTTCCCAGGTCGAAGAAGAGAAGCACCTCTGAGATGCTTTTGGATTCTGTTGTCAAAATAATCTCATTCCAAAAAAAATTAAGAAAACACAAACACCCTCTTACTGTCATGGTGAGCTTTGCTGGAGATGCATATAATAAGCACAAAAACATCATATAAAACATTTACTACCTTGAAACCTTCATCAGATACAGACTTCCCAACAAAATCAAATAACAACTTTGCAATTCTGTTCAGCCGAATTTCATCCCGTGCTTGCTGAAGCCAAAAAATTGCAGAACCTTTCTTTCCATGTTTCCAGTAATGGACTCCAGCAATCTGTGCCATGGGATATCATGCACTCAATAATAACAATAGAGCATATGCATAACTCCAAAAAGCATTTGCAGCTATGAAAATATATTTGTGCTGCATAGTTAGGTATGCACTTCTCAATAAAATAAGCTCAGCCTTGAGCCCTCACTATTCAACTACTCGATCCTTCTTGAAAAAATTATGTTTGACCAGGGTACAATTTTTAAATTGTCACAAGGGTACAACTGTTAAAGTGCCAAAGATTTATTTGATGCTTTAACTATATCAACATTATTTAATTTATTTGCTAATTTTTTAAAAGAAAATTGAATAAAACTAGATTTGTTTGATGATATGTGAATTTTTCCAAGGAAAAAAAAAGTGCAACAAGAGATTTTTGAAGCCAGGTGATTGTAGGGTGAAAAGGAGGGAGTGAAGAGACATTTTAACATACCTTCATAAGGTTCGAAGTGACATTGTTAAGTTCATAGAGACGACAGATCTCAAGGCTCTGCAAAATATAGAAAAAAACAGATCATCTTTCAAAGCCATGCAGACTGTATCAGAAAATCCGTCCATCTTTGAAAAAAATGCTTTTTTGTGCACCACGATGCCTATGAGAAGGCCACTCAAGGGGTGCCCACACATCGCACAGACAACATTAGACAACATTTGTCTGTGGGAGCGAAAAACCGTGTGTGTGCATGCGCGCGCGTGTGTGTGTGTGTAAAAGGGTGGTATACGACTTTGTGTACACAAGGATGTTGTACATAGGGCATCACCCATCACACATCGCTTATAATGAACGTTTAAAAGTGCAATGCAAAACAGAAAGCAAACAACATTTGACCTTCAGTAGAACTTGGTGCCATTGTACAGGTTGCTTGTACAAAAGATTTTCCAACAAGTTGATTCCAAGCTTCACACATGATGTCAAGTAAATTGGTGCAATCTGTAATTATATCAAATAAGGTATTTAGATAAAGATAGAATTACGACAATCAGCAAACCTGATCAAACAAAGACCGCCGAACACATCCAACAATAAAGACATATTTGCCTATAGATGTACTCGGTAATTGATTAAGTCAGTCTAACCTGCCACGTCAAAGCATGAGATGACAGAACTTCAGCATAAACAAGTCGATGAAGCTCTTCTAAGCTAATCCCTTCAAGTTTAGGCTGCTCTTCGTGCAAAAGAATTTCTGCTTGAGTACACTCTGATGTTAATAGCTCTATTGCATGTGCCATCATCCTTTTTTAACAAGAGAAAATAAGAAAAATCAAGTAAACAGCTTAACCTCACAATTAGTTTAGTATCCTACGCAATGGCATGGCCAGGAATTTATTCAAGGTGGCAAGAATTTGATTCAAGATAATGTAAAATGCAATCATTAAATTGATGTTCTTCAGTTCTTGACACATGAGTGTTACATATTAAAACAAAAAAACATTCATATGAAGTTTTGAATATACGTTTCTAAAAATCTTCGTAAGATACTTTCACTCTAGCATAAGTGCATAACACACTCAAACAGTTTCCAAGTGAAGTCTTGATTCTTGATGAGTTGGTTTGAATTGATGGTCAGATTGGAAGTGTTGTGAATTGAATAACAGGATTGATGGGAATTAGATCAATCGCGACTAACTCTCATTAAAATCATTGTAAAAGCAATGGCAACCTATAATGTTAGTCCATTATTTCAGAACATAATGAATTTAGTTTGATATGGATTAAGGCTCGGTTGTTGTTGTATCATAGCAATATAATAGTATACTCCGGTATAAAGTAGGAAATATTATTTCTCAAATGACATCATTGGAACTCACCAGGGACCAAAAGATCTTGAGCATTCAGCTATTACAACCTGAAGATGCAATGATCAATTGACGATTTAATACAGCTAACACAAAGATAAAGGAACCTCACAAAGAAAAATATAATATTTCCATGCACTATAGGCAAACATCATTGCTAATGAAAAGATAATACCTCAACATTTTCTCCAAATATGCCAAGTAAAAGGCTTAGCAACCTGTGGGAACGGGAAATTGGCTTTATCTGCATGCACTTCTGAGAAAGATTGTACATGCTTTCTAGACCCTGTGGAAGAAAAGGTTATACATTTATTCAATGCAGTACAAAGCTACTACGAAAAGGGATGTTTCGCTTACCATTGTGAACGGCCGGACATATAGAGAGTGAGAAACAAAAAGCTCCATCCAATGAAATGTTGCATTTGACAGAGCAGTGGCATTCCCCAACATAATCTGGAGGATGTTTTTAAGTCCGTCCCTGGTCTGCTGGTGCTCACATTGAAACCAATATGCACTGCAATCCAACTTAGTTATTTGTGCTCGCCACTTTTCCCAAGCCTAGACAGCAAAGGTGGATCAAGCATAATTCACAACATTAATGAAAGATTTATGTCTACTGAATGACCATACATACCTTCATGAAATCTGGCTTGGATGGGTAACATTCACCTAGTTTTCCAGCTGGTATACTCGGACGCATTCTGGGCATTTTTGATATGAGAACAGCAACAGTTTCTACCAGCCCATTCTCTGTCTGTTTCAAATATCAAGTTGCATACATATCAGAACTCATTATGCAATATTAGAGGCTCAGCTGATCAGATGGAGAAAAGTGTTTGCAATTGTAAGAATATGTTAGTGTATCATCCTTAACATGAGCCATTGAGTTTACCAATACTTCCAAGTTCCTTAGTGCAGTACCTATTCTTGCATGTATCTGGTCATTCATCATTCTACTAAACAAGAAGGGTTTTATTACGAACTAGAAAGAGAAAAGGGAACTTCATATATTATACTCTTGTCATGTCGTCTTTTACCATTTTTGTCTGTCTCACTATGTCGCATTCCACATTTTTTATATTTGTATGACCCATACTCAATATCAATCACAAGTCCACTATTTCTTATTTTGTGTGCCAACATCATGTTTCCCAAACTTATGGGACGGAGGGAGTAACTAATATAAGACATAGTATGTCAATGTGCCTCTTGATTGTGAATTGGAGTAAGCCAAATAATGGTAGTTAGTGACAAGTAATAATGACCTCAAAATGTCAAGTCAACCGACCTCACGAGTTCCTAGCTGATCAAGCTGATAAGATCCATGCAAGCGCAACAGTTTTTCCTGCAAGTGACATTGGAATATTACTAGATTTTCTAGCAGACTGAACACAAATCAATGGTTAGTGTAACTGTTATACTTACAACAGTATCTAACCAGCCAACTGCCAATGTTGAAGCTAATGCCTCCCAGTACTTGGGATCATTTTCAATAGTCTGAGTAACAGTAATTTGTCAGTGCAATGCAGTTTAAGAGGAAGAGCAAACACTAACGCATACAACTAATGATTTATGAATATATCAGGCAAACTAAGGTGCAAAAAAAATGTTCTATCCCACAACTTTCTATAACAACCCAACTTTATTATGGATATATAACAGTTACTCCTGTATAAAACAGCCAGTCAAATGATATTGCAAAACAAAATGGAGGACAGTGTATTTGAACTTGAAGTTGTTAAAAATTTATGTGCATCAAACATAGGAAAACATTGGGTACTTTTAAAAAAATGATGCCCAAAACATGTAGCTTCCCATTAAAGTTGGAGATCTGAAATTACCATATTAATTAATCTGCAGATTTCAACACTTATACAGAAGAAGAAAGTATCAAAGGGACGCTAAACTGCCAACTGACTCATCTCGTTTCTGTCTCAACAACACATGATCAAAAGAACGTAAAATGAATTGCACCTGTAGAGTAACAAGGTCTTTCTGAAAATCTGCAACTTTCAGATGCACTGTCTGGTGGGTTCCAGAAAATAAAGAATCATAGTCCTGTTGAACCCAAGCTTAATCAGGTCCAGTGGTACAAAAGTGTTTCTCATCACGGGACTAAAAAGAATTAATCAGATAAATTTCAAGAATTGTGAATTTGAAGCGTAAACAAATATTCCATAAATAATAACCATACAGCCAACCAATCAATCAGCCGTTCTGATATCCAAGCTTGGGATTGCTTGTCTGCGTAGAAAATCTCTATTAGCTCCCACGCACCTTTTAAACATGTGGGCTCCTCACCTTTCTATCAAGAGAATGAAGACATAAGAAACAAGGCTTCATACATCACACTCAAGAAATACAGACAAGGATCTACCTTTAGGACTTCTTTTGGATCTTCAATGAGTGAAGGAGGGTCTGACATTGGATTACCAAGAAGAGAACTAATTTCTTTGCTATACTCCATAATATGATCTGACCTGATTAATTCACAAGAGTGTTTACTACCTTATGAGATTATCCATGAAAACTCAAACATGGCACTGGTTCAATAGTTGTAACTCTGGACTAAGCTCATCCAAAGTAAAGGAAGTGTGTTGAATTGGGTACTTTTTTTAATACCTATTTTCTGTGTTGCAGTGATGGTTTATAGAAATATCAACTATAGCGGCATTGTGATGTACGAAACACAGGGAAAGAATATTCATTCAAGCACTATAACTCATTGTTATTTTAAATGCAAAATGCATATATTCCTCGTGGCATACATGGAAACACACTGAATTGAAATGACACCACATCTCAACCTATTTTTATAAAGCATGCATATGCTGTAAAAACTACTAGTACATGGGATTATGGGAATACTCTATAAAACTAAGTTCTACGCCGTATTTTTTGTTATAATGGCAAGGTTTAGTTGAAGCTGGCATCCAGTGTCAATGGATGACACTAACCTTATCCCCTAACCCCCTCCCTAAACCCCCCACCGCACCCCCTGTCCCCTCCAAATGTGTGACTATTATGCAATGACACTATTATGCATTGCATAATAGCCACACATTTGGAGCGGGCAGGGGGGCTACTGGGCTAGGGTGGGGGTGGGGGTGCAGTGGGGGTTTAGGGAAGGGGTTAGGGGGAAGGAACCATCAATTTCACATTTGGGAAGGGGTTAGGGGGAAGAAAATTTTTGAACAAACACCTCTATTCAGTAACCAAAGTACAACTTATTAAGAGTGATTCTCGTGAACAAGTAATGAGTTTTAGTTATGCACCATATCAATAATACCTAAAATTTTCAGTTTTTGTTGATTTGATTAAACCTGCAGTTAATTGAATAGATACTCAACTCCTTTTGCTTGTCTGTTCAATTCTGATTATTTTACCAGATTACAGTCCAAGAATTCAAAGTCCAAAATTTCGAGAGGTACCACTCAGCATTGTATGGTGGGGATTCCGAATACATCTTCGACAGAGCAGCCATGGAGTTCTTCCGGCTCTGCAGAAGTGCAAAGGGAGTCACAGACCCATACGCGATTTTCCTCCACCTCACTGCATCGATCTCTTCGCCTCCGATATTACTCAGGTTCAGCTCGACCACCTTCCCGCCGGCTTCTCCGTCTCCGGCGACAGCAATGTCGGCATCCGGCTTCCGAAGGAGGGTGACGCGGAGAGTGTTCCCGCGCGCCCAGGAGATTGAGGTGCGGTGAATTGGGTATTTCAGGCCGTGACGGAGGGGGTAGACCGTGGGGTTATTGGGTTCCGGTGGAACTGTGACTATAGCTCGGTCGCCGGCATCCGTCGGCTTCCCGGGCATTTTGCTCAAATTACCGATACCAGACCTAGGCTAGAAGATCGCCCGAAAAGAGGACCACAGTATGGGTCTTGGGATACCGAATGGGCTTAAAAACATGTGCTCGTCGGGCATCCGGCCCAATAAACACTTTTTTACTTTCTTCTTTTTTAATTATAAATCCACCTCAACGAATAGAGATTTATCAAAAAAAAATTACTACGTTGTACTCTTGGTTTTGTAATAACAACTTTCAGGTCTCATCATTTTTAAAAATATACTACAGGGTATCTTAAATATCCGAAAACTAACTAAATTCACTTGCGCCATTATCTTTTTATCGCCTTTTTCTCAAATATTATTGCTAGATACCCCCTGTTTTATAAAAAAACCTTCAGATCTCATTATTCTAAAAATATACTCCGAGGTACCCTAAAATATCTAAAAACTTACTCGGGAGGGACTTTCCTTTTTTCCTTATTATTATTATTATTATTATTATTATTATTATTATTATTATTAACGTTTAAAAAATAAAAAATTATTTAGAATTAGAATATCCAATTTTGAATTTACAGTTTGATTTCAATATCAACAGCTACTCGCTTCAACCACCGTATATGTCGTGGTTAGGTTGCCATTAGATGACTTCTTTTCAAATAATACAGGAGAGTTTTCGATAATCCTTTCGTCCACAATATAATACACTTCTTTACACATCATCGAGCTCCATCATAACTGTAATAAAAACATATATGGCCCGATTCGTTCTCTCCCTATTGATTAGGGTTTTTTCTCCCTGGCGGCTAGGGTGCTTCTTCCATCAAGAAATTGCGATTTGTCATCTTTTTTCTTAATCGACTTCGGCTCTTGCTTTCAATTGGACTTGCTCTGTTCATTTTTCTGCTATGGAGGATCAGGGATTGCAAACTCTTGATGCGGCAATCTCCAATTTAGTTTTATCGGAGGAGGAGGATGGACTTTCCTTCGCTCCAGACGGTGGTTTGGCAATCCCGGTTGAGGATTTTCGCACATGAACTGTGGTCGGGCGTTTTCTCACCAACAAACCGCTCAAGTTCGACATCATGCAACAAGTTCTTGCTTCAGTTTGGCGGCCAGCTATGGGGGTAAGATTCAAACAAGGCGAAGGAGGGCTGATTTGGTTCTACTTTTACCATGAGAAGGATGCCAAACGTATACTCGATGAAGGACCTTGGTCATTCGAGAACAATATGCTTCTGTGTTGCCTTGTTGAGCCTGGAGAAACGGTCACAGCTGCAGATTTACAGTGGCTAGAGCTCTGGGTTCAAGTGCATGACCTTCCTCCTGGGTATACTTCCCCAGCAGTTCTTGAGGCAGTGGGTAAGTTTTTGGGTCAATTTCGTAAGATTGATGTTGCCAATAATTTTAAAGCTTTCCAAGGATTCTTTCGGGTGCGTGTGGCCATTGATGTTCGTAAACCGTTGAAACGAAAGATGAAGCTAACGAGGAGGGATGGCTCTGTAGTGTGGGTTCTCTTCAAATATGAGAGGATTACTGTTTTCTGTTACTATTGTGGCATCCTTGGGCATCTGGAAAAGCACTGTCGTGCAGCACTTCTTTCCTCCTTGGCCCCAGAGAGCTACCCTTATGATGAGTCACTCAAGGCAGGGGGAAAGAAGGCTCTCTTATCAGTTGGAGAGCAATGGATCAGGCGTGTAGACCCTGTTAACGTGGGGCAGTTGGCAAAACTACAGACGGTCGGTGAAAGCTCTGGGACTGAAGATGACATATCCCTTGCTTTGGCAACTAAACGTAAAAGGGGGAACGAGGTGGGATTTAACGTTGTTGCCAATGAAACATTGATGGATGATAGTTCAAAAAACTTGTTTGGGGCGGGTGCTGGTTTCCAGACCCGCCAGGATCAATGAGCATCATTAGCTGGAACTCCCGTGGGTTGGGCAACCGACGGACAGTTCAAGAAGTGGCTGAATTAGCAGCCGCCAAAAAGCCCGATTTTATATTTCTTATGGAAACAAAAGGTGCAAGAAGCAAGGCAGAAGAATTGCGCTTGAAGCTAGGTTTTGAGGGTATATTCTTTGTGGACAGTGTGGGGTTGAGTGGGGGTCTAGTATTACTGTGGAAGGAGAAGAACATAGCCAGCCTTATTAGTTATTCTCGTTTTCATGTGGATGTTTCTGTTTTAATAAAGAATATGCCAACATGGAGATTGACTGGCTTTTATGGGAACCCCCGAAGGGATCAGAGGCACTCATCTTGGATTTTGTTACGCTCTCTCAAGCATAAGTCTTTGTTGCCGTGGTTGGTGATAGGAGATTTCAATGATATGTGTGCTGCTGGAGATAAGAAGGGGGGCAGCCCCCATCCTCATGCGCTCCTCACGGGATTTAATGACACTTTATGTGAATGTGGCTTGCTTGATTTGGGAATGAGGGGACACCCTTTCACCTGGGAAAGGGGTTGGGGTACAGATAACTGGATAGAAGAACGGCTTGACAGAGCGGTGGCCACTAGATCTTGGCAACAGATTTTTGATCGAGCTTGTGTCTTCAATCACTTTATGCATCGGTCTGACCACTCGGCTCTGTATTTGAGTCTTTTGGGCCCGACACTTCATACTCGGAGAAGTCAATACCGATTTGAAAATGCATGGCTTAGAGAAGAACGGTTTAAAGAGGTTCTTAAAGCTGCCTGGCAGGGGTCAGTATAGATGCCTTTTCAAGACAGATTGCAGTTTTGTGGCAGGAAGCTTAATGAGTGGGGAGGCGACAGGTTCCAAAGATTTGGCAAGCGGACGAAGGAGTTGTGTGACTTAATTCAGAGGGTCCGCAAGCGTCGTGATGAGGAGGGGCGTCAAATCCTTAATAAAGCAGATAAGGAACTCTCTAAATTACTTGATCAGGAGGACATATACTGGAAACAACGAACAAAGCAGCACTGGCTTTGTGCGGGAGATAGGAACACTCGTTTCTTCCATCAATATGCCTCTTACCGTAGAAGGAAAAATCAAATTCATGGCCTGATGGCTCCGAATGGCAAGTGGTGCGAGGGTCCAGAATTAATGAGTTTAGTGACAGATTATTATAACAGTCTATTTCACTCTAGTGGGGCGGCTAATTCAGGTTTCTTGGACTCCCTTACACCATGTATTTCTGTGGAGCAAAATACTGGTTTGCTTCGCCCGTTCGAGGAAAGTGAGGTGAAAGAAGCTCTCTTTGCCATGCATCCGGATAAGTCCCCTGGACCGGACGGTATGAACCCTGGTTTTTATCAAAAAAGTTTGGAGATGGTGGGTTCTGATGTCACGCAGTTTGTTTTGAAGTGTATTAAGGATTGCTCTTTTCCTGACGGAATGAACGATACCACGCTAGTGTTGATCCCCAAGAAGCAAACCCCTGAGACTGTGGCAGATCTTCGACCCATTGCCTTATGCAATACTACATATAAAATTATAGCCAAGATGGTGGCTAATCGCCTTAAACCCTTGTTGCAACATGTTATCTCGGATAATCAATCTGCGTTCCTCCCAGGTAGACTTATTTCAGATAACATTTTACTAGCTTCGGAAATGGGTCATTACTTACACAGAAAGCAGTTGGGTTTGACAGGATGGGTGGGATTAAAGCTCGATATGGCAAAGGCATATGACCGGGTGGAGTGGGGCTTTCTCCGCAAAATGATGGAGAAACTAGGTTTTGATAGTCGATGGATTGAACTTGTTATGCTTTGTGTTGCTTCAGTCCGCTATCGTGTTCTTGTTAATGGCGCTCTTACAGATGAGTTGGTTCCCACCAGGGTACTTCGGCAAGGAGACCCCCTCAGCCCGTATTTGTTTATATTATGTGCGGAGGGTCTTTCTTTGATGTTGAAGGAGGCTGAAAGGAAGAGGTTGATTCATGGTATTAGAGTGGCCAGGGGAGCTCCTCCCATAACCCATTTGTTCTTTGCAGACGATAGCTTGCTATTCTTTAAGGCATCGGAGGAGGAGGCTGGGCAAGTGAAACAATGTCTCACTGAGTATGAGCGTATCTCAGGGCAGTTGGTTAACTTCAATAAATCTAGTATCTGTTTCAGTTTGAACACCACTCTTCAGGTTCGGCAGTCTCTTGCTTCGATTTTTGGGGTAGTCCAGGCTGAGAATTTTGGTAAGTATTTGGGGCTACCCTCTTTTTTGGGAAGAGATAAAGTAAGAGTGTTCTCTTATATTGAAGATAAAATTCGATGTCGGATTCGAGGTTGGGGAAAGAAGTTGCTATCCAAAGCTGGGAAGGAGATCCTATTGAAAACAGTGGCTCAGGCAATGCCTTTATATGCGATGAGTGTATTCCTTTTGCCTCGTGTTACTTGCCAGAGAATTGAGCGCCTTTTGAACTCCTTTTGGTGGGAGAGTAAAGGAATTAACTCTTCAGGTATTCATTGGATGTCTTGGCAGCGTCTATCAGCCCCTAAGAAGTTCGGGGGATTGGGTTTTAAACAAATACGTGAATTCAACGTGGCCATGATAGGTAAACAAGGATGGCGCCTCTTAACGAAACCGGAAGCACTTGTGACTAAAGTATTCAAAGCTATGTACTTTCCCAAAACATCATTCCTGGAAGCCCAGTTGGGAAGTAATCCAAGCTACTGTTGGAGGAGCATACTGGAAGCAAAAAATTTGATTTCAAATGGAGTGAGGAAGCGGATTGGAGATGGATCTAACACTCTTGTGTGGGGAGATCCATGGCTGGCCGATAGGGTGAATCCCTTTATTCTCACTCCCCGACCTCCTTTTATGCCTAATCTTCCTGTTTGTTTCTTGTTGAATCATGATGCAGGTGGATGGAATTTAGAAGTTGTGCAAAGTTTATTTTGCCCTAGAGATGTGGACCAGATCAGTAGGGTGCCACTTCAACTAGATAGTGAGGACAAATGGTATTGGGCAGGAGAGACGCATGGGGAGTACTCCGTCAAAGAGGCTTATCGTCGATTGGTTGGCGAAGCTACGTCAACTCCTGATTTCTCTCGATGGGGTCAGATCTGGCAGATCCCAATTGCTCCTAAAATTAGAATCTGCCTTTGGCGTACAATTAGAAATATCCTTCCGGTCAAGGTGGCGTTGATTACTAAAGGCGTGGAGATCGAGATTGAATGTCCAGTTTGTGGCGGTGCTGCAGAAACCATTGATCATATATTTCTTCAATGTCCTTTGGCTATTGGAGTCTGGAACTTATTGGGATGGTCCCGTCATCTTGTACAGACAGAATCATTGGTTGAATGGATGGAATACCAATTTTCAAAGCTTTCTATTAAGGAACTTAAGTTGGTAGCCGAAGTTATATGGGCAATTTGGAGAGCCAGAAACAAGGCGGTTTGGGATCATTACATCCCTTCACCGCAATCTGTGGTAAGCTGGATCATAGAAGTTTTACTAGAGCCGCCAAACAAAACTGGTCAAAGTGGAAGACAGGAGTCGATGCAAGTGTCCCCGAGATCAGAGCACAGAGTCTTTCGATGTTATGTGGATGCAGCCATATTCCCTTCCTCTAAAGAGGTCGCTTTTGGGAGCGTCATCTTTGATCCGGGAGGTTCCTTCTATGCTGCTATAAATAGAATGATGCAATGTCCTTTAGAACCGGTGATAGCAGAGGCTATGGCATGTAGAGAAGCTCTTACCTGGGCTAGAGCTAACGAGATCCAAGACATGGAGCTCCTTACGGATTGCAGATGGGTTGCGGAAGCTCTTTGTGAAAGAAACATCCAGGTTTTTTCTTATCTTGGAACTATAATAAAAGACTGTAAGGCTCTTTTAGCTCAGTTTAATTCGGCATTGGTTGCTCATATTCCTCGGGAAGATAATGGTATCGCTCATACACTTGCTCGTAGTGCGATAACTCAATCTTCTACGTGGAATACATCTCCCCCGGATTGTATTTCTCATTTATTGGAATAATAATGAAATTTGATTGCCTTCAAAAAAAAAATCGAGCTCCATCATAACTATTGGCCTCGTTTATTAATGATCAAAGCGTTTACAATTTTGACGAAACAAACAACCATAGAAAAACTTATTTTGGGATTGACATATATTGCTCACTATATCTCATATCTTTTTTTCATTTTGAATTTTATAATCAATATTTTAAAACTTTAACCATAAATTCTTAAAAAATATAGTTAGTTATTATATAAATTATATTTAATATCAATAAATTTAATTTGAAATGTAGTTTTGAAATATAATATTTTTGTAATCTATTTTATACATAAATAGAAATATTAATGATCAAATTAAGGTAGCGTTCCGTTCAACTTATTCTGTTTACTACTTATTCTTATTGGTGGTGTAAATTACCTAATCGGATAAACAGTTCTAGACCGGGTCTAAGATTGTTTACTGGAATCGAGATAGTAAAAAGGAAAAAAATACACAAAATACTCCCTCCATCCCAATTTAAATCGCCTGTTTTGATTTTTGGGCATATTTAAGGAAAATAAAAAATAGAGTTGATTTTTTGAAATTGACATTACTTTTTAGGAGGGTGATGATAAATGAGAAGAGAAGGTGAAGAAGAGTGACTTATTTTAGGGGTAGTTTAGGTATTTTATTTTTAAAAGTTTACGAAAACAACTAACAGGCAACTTATTTTGGGACGGAAAAAAAAGGCAAACATGCAATTTAAAATGGGACAGAGGGAGTAATCGGGAGGACTGTAGGTGGAAACATCTGTAGCCCAATTAATATTTGAACATAGTAGAATGCATGGGTGCTTTTACACACGAGTTTTAGTGAGAAGAAATCAGATCCCTAGTAGTCAATGGAGACAAGGCGCCGCACATCCACATCAGGGCACGTTCATAGGTGGTGCGAGATGATTGCCTCTGTCTTCTAGTGGCCTTGTCCTCCAGTTAGGAAGGTGACTCCTTTGTCACTTAACGCATTGGGCTGATTGTCCGAATATTTTCCCTGATCCTTCGTTGAATTTCACTGCTAGAGTCCAACCTTCTTTAGATTCTTCCTTGTCGACATTCCCAACCTTAGAAATCATACCGAGTAGACTCCCAAGGGACGAGTTTATTGAAATTGGGAATGAACGTGGGAAGTCGCGTAATTTGACCGGTAGACTGTCCGAAGTATACCGGTCAAACATCTATCATTGACCAATCTATTGCCACTGTCGTTCCGTCTTCCCATTCCCAAAATATAACCTTGTCCGGTCAGGTATTTTAAGCCTTTCCTTGGACCGGTACTGGGTGAAATACACCCATCACTTATTATAATCAGATCAGATCAAACCAGATCAGATAAGATTAGATCATACTAAACCAGATCAGATCAGAAACCTCTTTAACTATAATTGTAATCAGATCAGATCTTCAAAAAATTATATCAAACCAGATCATGCGAACGAAACTCAGCCTAAAAACTCTAAAAAATGAAATGCGAAGAAAGTTAGAGTAATGCTAGAGTCACAAACAATTGGGACACAAATTACACAAACTTACAATTTCTGCACATTTTCATGTCAATAAAATGATTTGAAGTAATTAAAAATAAAATTTTAAATACACAAATAGTAAATTTGTGTAGTTTGTGTCCCAGCATTACTCAGAAAGTTATGCAATGGAAGACTTCTTGTACATGTCCATGTAATTAATGATGAAGATGAATTGATGGTTAATTAATCAATTATAAGCAGCTAATCGCCACAACCGCGGCTTTCACCACCGGCGGCCAATGTACGATCGCCGGAAACATAAGCCGACAAATTAAGGTACGGCTCTTGCTCCACCGCCATGGGATCGCGCCACCGTGCACGGCAGATGCCGCAGGTGACGGCAGACCGCCTCGGCCGACTACTACTCTTCTTCCACGCCTGCAAGCACTCCGTGTGTATCGGGTTCTTGCACGTCCCGCACGCCGCTATCCTCTTCTCCGCCGCCGCCGCCTCCTCCCGCCGTATCTCCTCCAAACAGACCGGGCAAGCGGCCCCGTCCCGGATCTCTATTGCGTCCCGCTTCTCCGCCGGCTTTTCACAGGAGAAGAGCTGGTGGAACTTCTCCCGGACCTCCGCTGTTGCGAGTACGTCCGCGGAGGTTGGTGAGCCGAGGAGGGAATTGAGGTGGCTTCGCCGGAGAGTCTTCCTCCATATCCATGGATCGTGTTGGCCAAGGCCTAGTACCTGTCAATTTTTAGAGGTGTTTGAGAATGATGATTAACTTGTGGATAAATTAAAGAGATTGCGTTTTTCCAAAACGATGTTCCATACATAAAACAATTGTGAAGATTCTGAAGAAAAGTAGACATGCCAAACAGAGTAAAACCACTTCCCATCAAAAACAGAAGTTAAATTCTTAAAAGCAGCGCAATACCATACATCTCATAATCTTTGTCCACATTATGTTTGGAAAAGTTTTTTCAATTAAAATTAAGAAAAATTTGTACTAAATAGGACTAAAACATAAATCATTTCTCAATGTAGGACTTAAACTTTTTTATTCTTTAAATAGAACTTAATAATATCTATATGGAAGAAATAATGTCCCGTGATGAATGACATTTACTTGAATAATGACTAGTTAATAATGACTAATGGTTCTATATTGAGAAATAAAAACATATGTTCCTATATTAAGAAAATCATTATGTTTTATTTCTATTTAGGTAAATTACTCTAAAGTTAAATCAACACTAAACAAGTACTCATAGAGAGAGACATTCTTTTTTAATGCAAAAGATTAACATTTTTGCTAAATTAATACGGAGTACTTTTTTGTAAAAATTTGTATTATCTATGTCTCCAAAACAAAACTAGCTAATTTAGAGGGATCAAAAATATATTTGACCTACTTTTATAAATGTGAAGATTTTAATTAATTAATTAATTACCCTAATCATGACGAAGAGTATGTGCTTGCACGGCGCAGTACGGTCGGGGCAGTCGCATGACTTTCCGGCGGCTGCGAGGTGCACCGTGTAGACGTTCCCGGTGGCGCCCAAGACGAAGAAAAATGCGCCCGAGCGGTGAAGGAGGCGGAGAGGGTGGCGGAGGGCACGGAGCATGCGGTCGGCAAGCGGCTGCGTGGGTGCGATGTATTTTCCGGGACGGCCGTGCGGCGGCTCTCGGTCCGCCGTCCGGGAGGATGAAGCAACGTTGTCGCCGGAGTCCATGTTCAGGTTGACCGGCGCGCTATTACGGAGGAAATATTTGAAAAAAATATATAAACTATGAAGGGGACAATATTATTATACCCTTGGGAAGGGTAGGGTAAGGGGGGATTGAGATGCCTTGAATAGTTTTGAGGGACACGTGAGGGATAGTAGTGTTGTGAATGCCAATCCATCTTGACATTGTCTCGTTAATAAAGCAAAGTGAAATTTGCACTAAATTGGACTAAAACATAATGACTTTCTTAATATAAGACTTAAACTTTTTTATTCCCTAAATAGGACTTAATAATGACCTAGTGGGAGGAATAATGTCCAGTAATGATGGATATTTACTTGAATAATGACTACTTCATAATGACCAAAGGTCCTACATTGGGAAATAAAAACATATGGTCCTATATTGGGAAAATCATTATGTTTTAGTCTTATTTAGGTAAATTTCTCCAAAGCAAATGCTCATATTGATTTTTTATTCAAATTTATTTTTGATCCCTGAGAAATAAGTGATTTTTTTTCAAGTCTTTCTAAAGTAGGGTAATTTCCCTGTTTGTGTAAAAGCGCTGCATCTCATTCCTTTATATGTAATTTAGAAATGCACTTTCCGCCAAAATACCAACCGGATTTGGCTAATCCGTTTTGATGCATATTATTTAACCAAACGGATTAGGCTAATCCGTTCCACTTATTTAATTACCAAACGGATTAGCCTAATCCGTTCCCATATTTATTTTTTTTTGTAATTTCTTTAAAGACTGATTTGTTGCTTTGTTCCAATTTTTTTCCCTTTTAAATTTTTTTTAGTTATTTTATCTCCTCTTTTATAAACCTTTTTAACAAATTAAATCCATTTTTATAAAGTTTTTTTAATTTTTCAAACTATATTTTATTAAAATATTATATTTTAAAATTTTTATATAACGATATTAAAAGAACAAGACAAAACACAATAATTTTATTGCCAGAGTACATATAACAATTTATTCATAAAAAGAAGAAGTCAAAACACAATCCATGACTAACTTATTTGTAAAATTTAATAATACATAAACTAAGACATAATTGAACTTCATGACAAAGCTATTCCTCATTACGATGTCTCCGTGGTCGATAGTTCATGTTATTCGGATAGCGGGTTCTCGTACGTCGGCCGGTTCGTGTGATCTGTCGTGGTGTTGGCCTCAAGATCTCGTACTCTGGAGTAGGCCATTGAGACTCATCCGGTAGCGGCATTATGATGCCAGAGTAAGCATTGATGTAGGACTGAATTGAAAAAACATTTGGAATCAAATGATCCATGGTGACATTACAAAAATGACATACTGCGTGGACATGATTGCACGGGAGGTGAAATGTTACCCATTGACCACAGCTACATGTTCGTGCATTTAAGTTCACCGTAAATGTCTCCCGTTGAGCAATGTAGGACGACCCATCCACCACCACAGAGTATATCCCTTGTTGTGTGTGGTGCTGCACAACACGACAATACAACCTATTTTCTTCATTTTTCCTAATATGTTTCCACACATTCATAGGAAAATTGTACCCGGATTGCTGCCATACATACCCATTGGTTCGCCTCTCAGCGAAAAGTTTGACCAGCTTATCATAGGTGAACGTCACAATGGCATATACTGGCAAACAACGACATCCTTTAAGGACATGATTGAAACTTTCTGAG